CAGAACTGTGGAAAACACGTGTGGTTTCGGACTTATAAAAAGGAATACCTATACTCTTTTATTGAATATTAGATGTATTTAATCAGAAAGTTAGATAAAAACACAGACAAATTATTAAAAATGTATGTTATTTCCCTAAAACTATGAATAATGTTTCCGGGGGCAGCTTGTATTAAATCTTTTTTTTTTTATTTTAGAGTCAATATCCCCGTTTACATATAAGATGGGTATATCTAATAATTACCCAACACACTCAGAAGCAGTACCGGGGCCGTCGTGACGACACTTAATATTCGTCAGTCAACCTTCCACGTTTATCTAAGACGGACACCGGGCATCGGCAATTTCCTTCAAATAGATTGGAAGTTAGACGGTCATTACCACCCTGTCGGGGTCTGCTTCATAGGTAACTAACGGATACGAATGTTAATACGTTGTATAAATTAGATGGTCGCTCGTATGATGTCACCCGACTGGTTGCTCTTGCATCAATGCCTATCTATATGTGCATTTCATTGCTGCCCTGCCTCGGCCGATACCATTTACGAGTACATTGTACTTAACTTTACTGATATCTTTTTTTCTTTATTCGATACTAGAGACCCGCCCCGGCTTCGCTTGATTTTTTTAAATAAAATACAGGCCATGTTATTCGCATATCATGTTGCTTTTTATAGGTGTTTTTTTTAAAAAATCAATAGTATTTTTTGGTTTTATTCATTACAAACAGAAAATCAAATACATATTTTCTTTTTATAATATTATTTTAAGATTTTACTTCTCTTATATTCATCATTATCATCTTTTTAGTCATTATCCGTTCACTGTTAGACATAGGGCTCCCCCATAGGCTGCCATAAAAAAACGGTCCTGAACCACCTGCATATTTTCCTTTACTTAAACATTTTTGTTATAAATGTTTCGGATTTGTAATTTTAGTTTAATTACTTTGTTTAGGTACAATTATTCTTTTTTACTTTTTTTTATCATCAGTACTTAATGTTTTTGTTTATAAATTTATAATTTTGTAATTATTTTTTGACATGTGATATTTTTAATTACCTATTTGCAATAATAAAATCCCATAGTATATCAATATAATATAAAAATATATTTGAAAAAAAAAAACATATTCCTCAGTAGTGCTTGTAAAAGGGGTGTTTGCGTTTCGTTTAACTAAAACAATTTGCTAACAATTTAGTTACGTCATTGTTGCACGCCCCTCTAGTCGCTAAATTGAAATCAGCTGTGCCCTATTGACACTTGTTCTGATATTTTAGAGTTCCGTGATAAATTGGGGAAACAGTCGTATCGTAACATTTATAATATATTCGTGGGCCATTTATTTTTTAACATTTCCGTTTACTACATTACTTATTTGTAAAATTATTTTTCACAGTAGTATTTCATATAGTAGTAACAAGTTTAGCAAAAATATATACTCTCTAATACTTATTTATGTTTTCCAATTGTGTGTTATTGAACATAAGCACGTAATAAAATATAAGAAATAGAAAGTATTGTCATCAAGGTAAACGTTTCCGAACGTATCTAAATATTAACTTGTCAAATTTCCCGCCAATCGGCCATATTGTTCGCGCCACCACGGGACGCCATTGTGTACGTAATGAAAAGGAAATTAATAGTTACAATCCATTTCATTTGTTATGACTGACGATTTCTATGCTCATAGAAATAAGGGTGAAACTCTTTAATATTATTTCTTGTACAGACAAATGTCAGGGAAGTGGGTAGCTGTGTATTTATATACTTTCATGTTTCAAATGTTTCCGTATAAATTGATTTTATGATTAGAACCAATATTTAATGCACAATTTATATTTTCTATATTTATTGAATTTGTTTTTGTCTACTTAAATGGAGTTTAATTACCTATTTTTAATTTATACTTGTGTATTTTTAAGTAATTAACATAGTAAATAATATCTAATGGAAAAACGTAAATTTATAAATTAATAAAGAATTCTTATCTACCAATATAGGCGCAGATTTCATTACGTATTAATAAAATTAATTAATCAAAACTGTCAAATTTCATTAAATTATATATCAGTTTATTCTTTTTGTGCGCCATAATTTTGTTTTAGTTTATTTTCATTTCTCCTATATTGTTACATTTCGCAACTGCGAGCAAGTCAGCAACGTGCCAGCGAGGAAATTAGTTTAGTACCTCGATGGAGCTAAGAAATCTACAATAAAAGGAAAATCTATTCTAATTTATTCATTTTATCTTTTATTATTTTTGAATTACGGAGTACTGAAATTTTAACTTTTACCTAGAAAATCAAATATAGGTAAAAAGCAATTTCATTATGACATGACAGATAAATGAATTGTTTGATGTTTGTGCTTACTTTTCAATAAAATCGATTGACATTCTTGGAATTTTTATTTGTATTTTCATGAGCTTTAATTTACATGTACGTATATGAACGTATTTTTTTACTCTAAAGTTTATTGATGTTACCTTTTTTTTAAAAAAAAAATTAATTGTTAACTAAAGATTGTCAGATAATACAAACATTGCCACATTTTGGATTTGTTGTTACATTATATTATTTTGTTTAATGTACATTATATATACTTACATTATGTCACTGAATGCTAGTGACTCAGGACCGGTCCTTATGGTAGTCTAGTTAGTTCATTATGGGAGGCCCAAGTTCAGCAGTGGACAGATAATGGCTGAAATAATGATATATATATATATATATATATATATATATATATATATATATATATATATATATATATATATATATATATATATATATATATATATATATATACTTAATATAATAAAATATATTAAATAAACTAAATACAATGTTTTCTGCTCTATTATCTAATCTATAATCATGATTGTTATTATAAATATTTTGTGCTTATTCTCTTTTTCTTATTTTGTTGTCTTTCGTAGCTTCATGGAATAATTTCCCTTTCATTCGGCGAGGTTGAATGTCTAGATTTTTGTGTCACTAAGTCAATATATCTAGTTCATCAATACATACCTATAATTGTGTGGACATTCCATACATACACACATACATATCTGTCACGCGTCTCCCATTAGGGTAGGCAGAAACAGTGGAACGTCAAATGCTTGGATTCCAACAAACCTCTATCGCTTCTTCCACATTCCAAAGAAGGTAAACAACTTCCAAAAGAAGGTAGTTTTCAATTCTAATGGATTTATCGTGTGTCTTATACGTGATGTCTTCGTCAATTATAAACCACTAATTATAATTTTTCTCTTTTTTTTTCTTTTTCATCTTTACGTTTACTTCCTTGTTGTTCTCAATTAAAATTAATTGACGCAGTGAAAAATCTTTTCAGACACGATTTTGCGTTTGTGTAAAATTAAATATATATTTTGAGTTTGTCGTGTTCTGTGTGTAAAATCTAGTGATGGAATATCATGTACAGATTAAAAAAACTGCTAGTATTTTTTTTTTATTTCTATTCTGTAGATATATAACGCACAAATGACACGTATGATTCAATAGAATGACATTTAAAGTGACACATACTGTAGTGGTGCATAAATGATTATGTTACTCTGATTATGCACTTGTGACTGTGTCAGTTTAATGAGTGATTATCTTTACATTGTAGTACATAAACTAACATGTGTGTAAGTATGTGAAATTTACATTCAGTTATATTAACGTAAAGACTAATTTTTATATTGACAACTTAAAATTGTGTTCCACAAAATAAATCTACTTCAATTGTGGTAAAACGAATTATTTTTAATTTAAAAACTAAAGTATGGAACCGATTTTGATAAAATTTCTATGAGACCAATTTGTATATACTTCCAGATAAAATAAAGATTTTTCAAATCACTTTAGAACTGAGCAAGTTATGAGGTAACAAACATAAAAAAAAAATACAATCTAATTAAAAACCTTTTTCTTTTTAATGTCGGTTGAAAATAAAATTATTTCATAACGTAAAAACGACCATACAAGTTGTAGGTTAGTTTGGTTGCTGACTGTATCTATATACCATAGTTATTATCCAAATACATATATTGTTAAAGTTAAAAAAATATTCGTACATCTCAATAATCAGTGTAAATACACTTAATTAACTATCTACAACTGAGCCAAAGACAAACAGACATCAAAGCCGAGCTGCCAGACACTGTCTGCACAAGAAATTCGTTTGTTAGCAGATCCAATGAAGACATCTTGACTGAAATTAACACCGAAGCATAAACATGTTTCGGGGAAACATTACACACACAAACAAAATTGCAAGTTACACATACACTAGCATTAGTCCGTGATTGATAACGGACTAATGCTTTATGTATACATTCGTAAGAATAATCATACAATCAAATTAACTAACTTCACAAGATCTCCCCCGTCCTTCTAATTCTGTACAAAAATAGACGTTCCAAACGTAATGCAGGTTGTGTTCAGGGGTCTAGATGAAGTGGATGGTTCACTGGACACCTTAAGTCCAAAGCAGTGACTGCAATTAGTACAATTAGTAAGGCCCAATTAGGTGCTTTAACGAAGCGAGTTTCGCAACTAGTCGGAGTTTGGTGACAAATACTACGTTTGACGTCTGACCCGGGATTTGTATCAACATTGATACGAAAGGCTTGGTTGTCCCCGATGAAGCTAACTAATTTATCTCCAATTATAAATACCTAAATAAAATTATCAAACTAAATAGATAATGTTTATTTACTAATACTTTTTAATAAAGTATCACGTAAATGTACTAAATTGTCAAGAATAGACATAAAATATACTAATAAAAATAAAATAATTCGGGTAATTGATGGACATCTGATAAGTCTATTATCTTACGTATGTATAATAGTAGTTTTAAATTAAGAACAATTACTCATAAACAACTAGTTGAAGGAAAAAAAATATCAACTTATATAAGTATTATTGATATCGAGATATAACAACTTTGATAATTTCGACATTTCTGACTAAAGGTTTTGTTCACAGAAACATGTCATCTAAACGGAAGTCACCGCCGTCGAAATTGCAAGAAGGAGTCACCGAAACCGTTAAGCAAGAAGCTGGTCCCGCCAATCTGGACTTCCCAGACCAGCCTGAATCCGACCCTGAACAGCAGAATTATTATAAATTCTCGCCTAGCCCATCAACAAGAAGTTCTGTAAGTGAAGAAGACCCAACAAATTACGACGACGAAAGGCCAACAAAAAAACAGAGATTAGAAACTTTAGACATGACAAACAATCTTCTAGTCCCATCATCTTTCCTAAGTCTACATCAGGTCAATGACCTACAGGCTCGGAGACGTGGCTCCTCAGAATGCAGTAGTCCAGGTGCTGAAGCAAAAGTTTTAGGGCTCTGTAACAATAATAATTCATTGTTAAATCACAACAGTGCTCTGTCGTTAGCTCCGCCTCATAAGCGGTCAATGGATGACGTCCTTAAGAGATTAACGTCAAAAATGAATAATAGCACAATAAAAGAAGAGAAGAGGCCTACACCATCCACTACGCCAGTCAAGCAAAACAAGTAAGTACAATTGTATTTGTTTGGTGTTTTAAAAATAACCTGAGATCGTACTCTTGTCAAATTTAAAATTCTTATGTTAATAACCAATTCTCAAAGTATCTCATAATTCTTGATGCTTTTTCATTGAAAAGGTTTCGAATTTAAGAAAGGTTGCGATTATTATGAGTAGTCAAAATTCAAAACTAATTCGTCTCTTATCACGGATATATAAAAATAAAATAAATAAATAAATATCTATTTTAATAATTACAAATTCCACTTGAAACAAAAATTTCGTTTGTAATTTTGCAGTAAAGCAAGTTAAATCTTTTCTGAGTCAGTGTTAGAATTAATAGTTGCTTTCGAAGAAAAAAGAATCATCGAAATACTTTTTGTATTTTCTAAAATAAGATATTATGTATACATACAATTTTTTTTTTATTTTTTTATACTACAATACACAAACAAGCATACAGTCCGAGTAATGGGCCCTTAAGAAACTTTAATAAATAAATGTCATTTTTTAAACAATTTAGCCAAATAGATATAATTCTCTCTTTTTTTTTTAATTAATCAGTCTTACAATATTAGCCTCAATTTGCTATTACTATTTCAATGTATCTTGAAATTGTGTTGTCAACAGTGATACCTTTTAATAACATAATTAACAATATGTAATTAATCTTTGCTCTACATTATTGGCAATTTCCGACATAGATTAATCTATGTTTTGTCTCACTATGTTTATATACTGATACGGAAATCGTTCTGATAATGATTTGTTATTATTAATATCCTTACGATATTCCTCTAGTTACATTGCGGAATCCAAGATAATCACATTATGTCAATAATGATACTTAACTGAAATAATGATACTCACATTACTGATACTTAACCGGGTAGATATTGTACGTATACGTATTTCATTTTTTACATTCCCTATGATCCTCAATTGTGAGGTAATATCGGTAAATGTAAAAGAAAAAATTAAAAATAAATATATAATTACAAGTAAATAATAATTAATTAATGCGTTAACTTAACATTTGTACAAATTTTATTGTGTAATTAGGAATAAATAAATAAATATTACTAGAACATTTAATGAAGTGAAAATATATTTTTGCTACTGTAAGACTTGTTCAGTTTTTTTTTATGTGGAGTTTTTAACTCTTTCTCACTATACGTGCCATTTTTCAAATTTACTAACCTTGTCTTGACAGTTATAAACACAATAAGAAAGGAATTAGTCAAATAAGTGCGGCCGTTTTCTAACGATGCGCTTAAATACATTCGGCAATTGATTTTTATTTACATAGATGAGTACCAATTATGAAGATCTGATTGTAGATCAAAAATAGATAGCGTCACTATAGCGTAGTAGCATATAAATTTAAGTTGAAAGTAATGTAACTTTGAAGGATAGCGATTAATAACTAACTGATGAATATTACACAATGTGTCCTTGTGATATTCCCTAAACATTTGTTGTATTTTTTTTTGATGGGTGAAAATAGTATGGTAACCCCGCCTGCGCTAACGGGATACGCTGGCGGAGCACCAGTGAAGGGTGATAGATGAGAATGAAAACAGGCCAGTTAGCCCATCATGATAAATTCATCAGGAATTAACCATGATAGTTTCCAGGGGTAGTACGACCTGGTTGGGTATATTGCTAGCAATGGGATTCTCAGTCTCCATTACTAACAATCCCTTTCCCCCTACATTTGTTGTATTAAGTTATCGATTTTTGTCCTAGACCTGGTGGATTAACACTTACGAATCAAATCAACCCAAATTACACTTTTAGGATTATATGTCAATAAATATCTATTATTAAATGAATATGAAACAAAAAAAAAAACAAAATAGCACTCAAAACAATTTCAATGAGGAACCATTACGTGTTATTGACGTAACTTTAATTGCTATAGGACAAGCTAAACTGCGGTTACGCAGTAAAATAAAGCGGCGACAGTACGTGACTATTCCTGCATTGGTCGTTTAACCAGAATTTAATTGGTCGTATTATAGCTCATTAAAAACAAAGTTAAGAGTATGTGCACCGCAAGTTCACTATAAAATCTTATACGATGATTTTACTATTATTTTATAGATATTTTGGTTTTAACGCTATTTGTCCACGGTACTTCATTGCGATCGTAAACTGCATAGATAATATCAAAATTTAGAAAATGTGCATTGATATTCGATGTAATGGGCAGTTAAACAATGGTTATAATGTACTTATTGCACATTATAATTACTTCCTTACTATCCATATCTTCTTAAGTAAAAGCATTTTTAAGGGCCTGATTACATTTTTCAAATGATTATAAATAACGTACAAACCGAAATATTATAGTTGTAGATATATTTTGTTAAACTTTTGTATTCTAAACAATTACATTGTAATCTATCAAATCGTAGCTAACTTTATCAGATTAAATAAGTTAATTTAAAATTAGATTATGTGTTAACTGTAGTTTAAAATTCTTCGTTGATTGTGAACACAATTAACTCATTAGTTAATCGTGTTCACAATTTCACACTAATTTCATTAAATTTGTAACTACAATACATTTGACATTAGTAAGTCATGTGGAGCAACCCACATGTCGTATAATACAACCTGTTTTAACAAAGTAAAAATTTGTTGAACGTATATTATCATTTTTACCTGTTCTTTCATTGTAGAAAATCACCTGAGTTTAGTTTGTTTTCACTTAAAAACAAAATGTCTTTTGGTAACGGACTGTAAATTTATTTGCTTCATAAATTTTCATTTGCTGTAAATTATATGGCCCATAATAAACATACTGTTCGCACATAAATTGCATAGATATGACACTATTTTGTATATTTAGTTTCTATTTTTATTAAATGAACATTTAACATTACAGTTTAACCCAAGGTGAAAGAAAATTAGCATAACTAAATAAGTATAACTGATAACCATTTCACTTATTGCACTGAGTGGCTTAATCTTAGTAATACCTATCAGTAATATTGTTAGATTCTTGTAGTAATAGAAGTTTAGAATTATAGAGAGAGATTAGAACTACATATTGATAGATAGATACTCTTCGTTGTTTCCTCAAAAAGATTACAGTGGTAAACCTATTATAAATACAAACAATTACAAGAAAAAATTACACCGAGAAAACAATGAGTGGCCTTATCACTAAGAGCGATCTCGTCCATGCGACTTTTGGATGGAGAAGAGTAATTATAAACAGTTTGGCGAAACGTATCAATTGACTAGGAAAAATAGAAATCAAGCCTTTCCATACCATATATGGTACTAGGTATGTACAAAATTTCATGACGATTGGTCGAGTCTTTAAGATGTCAAAATCTAACAAACAAACTAACTCATTTTCACGTAAGGATATGGATAATATTAAATTATTTTCATTAATAAGTATATGTTTTGTCATTATTATTTTCAACCTACTTAAAAAAGCAGGAAGTTCTCCGTCTAACTCCGTCGGTTCTAAACGGATTTGGAAAATTCTATTTTTATTTAAAAGTACATATTTACAAATTAACTGGTTTTGTCACAATTGAAATCGATATTTTTTGGGACACAGTTTTTAAATATACTCGCATCTGTTGACTCTAAAATATACTAATAATAAAAGATTACATTTGGTATGAACGCTTCAAACTTCAACCGCTTAAAATTTTCAAAAAGGCTTTTCTATGCATGATAATAGAATGGTACGATAGCTCCACCTGCGCTATCAGTATACACTGGCGGGGTACCAGTAAATAATGAAAGGTGAGAATTAAAACAGATAAATCGACGCGTCGTGATAAATACAGAATTAATCTTATTGGATTCCAGAGGGAACCGTGTGGTGGAGTTCGACCTAATAGGGTATAAATTTACCAATGACCATTAGCATTATAGCTTATATTAATGTAAGCTAGTAGCAAAATGATACAAATTTTCGTCATGGACAAAACCCTAAATATAACCATTGTTATAACCATAAAATCCTAAGTTAGCCTAATTAGTATAATTACGCCGACACTGTGTTTATTGTTAGCAAGATGTTAATGTTACTCTGTAACAACTGTTAATTATAATAACAAGACGAGATTAGACCGCGTTATGTGGGCAATTTACAGGGTAATGTTTAAGACACTTTGTTACTTTACAGAGTTATTTATACGGTTGTTCAGGGGATTTTCTTGTTTTGAAATTATGTATGCCACTTGTATAGAGTTTTAGACCATTTACACGAGTGTATGCTGTTATAAATTTTAGAAGTATTTTATGTAGACATATTTTATGTTTTAAATTTCTTTTTTAAATCATTGAAAATGGCCGTCATTTTAAATAATGTTATCATTAATGTTAATTTATAAGTAACATGTACACATCTATATTTATATTAAATCAGAAAAAAAAGTAGTTCCAATTTCAAAAATCGACTTGATCTGGGAAATTTAGAATCTAATTACTTTTAACATTGTAAAAATGTTGTTTGCCAAATTTTTATTATATTAAATAATAATTAAATAAAAAAATAATGATATCGTAAATAATTTTACTAGTCACTTACCATCAGGTGAGCCGCATGCTCGTATGCCCCCTGCGTTGTAAAAACAAAAAAAAAATTAATTAAATGTACTTTTTTAATGTTCTGTCTATATATTCTTACTCAATTTTAAGTTAATGTCATATGTAAATCTAATCATATAAAATTTCGACGTCATACACTTAACGGTCTGACTGAAAACAAAACAAACCGATATCATTTGTGATAAAATTAATATTAGACCAACAGGGAAGTAAACATTATCAGTTGCTAAAAAAATAATACAGGCGAAATGACAACTTTCGTGTTATATATTTTGTAATAGATAGATAGACACTATTGTTCCTTCCAAAAGATTACAATAGAACTTAGCATAAGAGCAAACAAATTACAAAGAAGAAGGCATGGGTAATATGGATACCGATCCGATATCTATATATTGGGTTTGGATCATTAATGGCGCAGAAA